AATCGACGGGAAAGAGCATGTAGGCTGTCTTCAGCAGCGTGGAGCTAGCTATGATTTAAGGTCGTTGTCCAACGGTTTCCAGTCTCTTGGGCTAGTCTTGTTCCCCTCGTGGGACCTCCCGAGCCAGTGACTGAATATCGTCTTGTCTACGTTGTGCGACCGTTCAACTACGCTAATACCTCGGGAGCACTACTCGCTGACTGTCTCAGTAGGAAGAGCTCCTGAACTAGCAGTGCCACGTGTATCTCGGGAGGGGCACCGACAATACTCCTTGATGACCAACGTGGATGATGATGCTGATTAACCAAGCTCGAATCCATGCTCTTGCAGTAATTCCTCCGCAGGAAAACTGATCGTTCTACTTTCTGAACCACTCATTTCTTTCCATTTATGCTTTGGAAGGACTGACCGTTGACCATTATTTGAGGGTCCAAATTCGGTAACATTTTTCCTAGCCAATCGCACAATTCTTGTGAAGCTCTACCTTCACTAACCCTAGTTCATAGAGCAATCTTTGAGTGGCACCACGGATTCTACGTGTTTTCGAGCATTGGCTCTCTTACCTATTCAGTAAGTGATTTCCTTAACAGTCATGTTGCTCCAATTGCAGGATGCTGGTGCTGGTAGGTCTCCTTCTCCCCTTGGTGATGGCGATGCCATTCGACATGGTCTCCAATTTGGCCACTGTAATAACCTACGATGACAATTTTGCCCGAACAAAAATGCTGCCTCTCGCCGCTGCCGCTTACTCCGATACTCCTCAGCAATGCCTTTCAAAGTTCGGCAAGGATGTCAAGGTACCATACATTTGTCGTTCTTCTTTCATTGGCTTCAATTAATTAAGGTATTTCAAGATGAAAAGCATCACGTCGGTTACCTGTGATATCACTCTCGTTGACAAATGTACAGGATACAGTGCAGTGAGCACGGACGACAAAGCCATCATCTTGTCATTCAGGTAAGGCTCACTTACTAATCTCTTGGATAAGTAAAGTTTTAAAGAATTCAGCAAATTTGTCTGCGCTCTTCTGTCTGTAATATGCCTGCGGCCGCTTTCCTCTCATTTGTCCCATTCTTTTGAACCATACTCGTCTCCTTCAATCAAAGCACGTCGGACGTTGGGGATACCCAACTGGGGTGGGGAGGGGTGATTGTCGCTGGAGGAAGAGATTGTCGTACTTCGCCTAGGAACAACTTTTTTCCCGGTAGTTGATTTTCCGCTCACTCCCGCTGCATATCGTTCGCAGCCCAAAACTAACAGTTCTGGTAGTTGATCCCATAGGCCCACGCACGTTGGGAGCCTCAGCGAGGTGGGCCGTGTTTGGCCGAAGGGCGGAGGAGAAGGTCATATTCGTCTACTGCACCCGCACCCACTCCACACCTAGTTTTGGGAAAAATGAGAGGAATTTCCGAGAAAAACTAAGAAAAAAAAACCGGAGAAGCGGCAGGAAGTTGAGAAAATATGAGAACTTGATAAGATGGTTGGTAGGATGGAGCATGGGGGAAAGAGGGCGTGGCAGAGGGGAAAGTGTTGAGTGGCTGGTCGTATTTTGCATAAGTTTGCCCAATGGCCGGACCATCTCCCCTCACCAATTCCACGGTGAGTTTTAGGAGAACTTTTAGGAGAAATTTACAAGGTCGGCTGTGAAAGGAGGTTCTATCGGAGGAGAAAGTTGAGGAGGGTGTCAAATTAATCAAAAAATTTTACCCAAGGCCAGCCACTGTGCCTGCAATTCTCTGACATCTCAGTGCGCTGACAACAAATGTCCTAACATCGATGTAATTTCGCTGCTATCAGAAACTGAGCCTATGAGGGGGCATTCGTATTACGGAACAGTGTTTGGTAGTTTTATTTGATGACTGCTCTTCAACGCGCGGGAAGTTATTTCAGTTATTAGTTACTAAAGTTATTCTAGAGATGAGCTATGTTGAGAGGGTAGAGGGCATTGGTGGCGTAACGAGGAGCGCACTCGCTCGAAAAGCGAGAGGTGCGGGTTCAAGTCCTGTCTTACGTTGACGTTTTTGCTGATGAATAAGCACTACTGGTGGCTGTTTGGCTTGGAGGGGCTTTGAGGGGCACGCTAGTTGCCTTTGCTAGTTTATGTCAATTAACAGTTTGCACCTCGGTAAGTCCTGTAAACCCTTGCGAAATGCGAAATTGCTCGAGTGATCCGTATTGGTGACAGGAACAGGTCTCCACAAGGTGGCTTGGTCTCTATGTACCATTCGGTGCCCCTACATTTAACAGTGTTACAAACTGAAGTAATACATTTCCAAGAGGAACAAACAAGAATAGTCAACTGATCATGGAAAGCGAGGAAACAATGCAGAAAAATCACGT